ATCCCCGCTGTAATGAACAGTGTTAGACCTCAGAATGCTAGCATACCACGTAGGCACGTACAAGCAATCACCGCACCCGGACCCATCAGAGACGCAAACATTCCAAGAATTTTCCACGTTGTTCCTCCCATTGACTTTGTCGACATCCGAGTCACCACAAGCGTTCAGGATATCGTTCACCCTATTATGGAGTTCGTCGTCTGAGATGCTGTTGACGTCTACGTAGATGCAGCCTACGCAGGGTCAGTCAAAATCGAAATCAAGAACAGTTAGAGGAATTACAGTTGTTGGCGGAGCAGATGGGGTTGTATGCAAGGAAGGGACCGTAGTGACAGGTATGGCTATAGTCGAGGCCGGACCAGCCGTTGGCGAGGAGGTCGCGGCAGGAGGAAAGTCTGTGAGCGGGTGCGGGCTCGCCATTAGTAGTAACTCGGATGGGAGATGGAGGGTACGCACGTCGCATCCCCCGCGGTACCGCAGGTAATATCACCTTTAGCGGTGGTGGCAAAGGCAGCGATTACGGACAATTTGGTGAAAGCGCTAGTCAGCTTCATGGTGTGTATAGAAGAGATGATGGAGAGGCGGAAAGAAATCTGGGGGGGTTAAATATCGTTTGGACGTCTGGCTGTGGAGTGGTTTAGTTGCTAATCCCCCATTTTCATCGCGGGAAATATTATGAAGGACCGATGAGGGTTTTGGAGCGGAAGGTCACGATGTCGGTGGGTTGGTGTTTGAAACGCTTTGTGGTTCGCTAGAAATTTTTTTTGCTGTTGGCTTCTTCTAACCAGATGGGCTAGGAATATCTGGAACTTCATGTGTAGTACCAAATCGGACTCTGAGATGAACGCAAGGAGAGGACGCCTAGAAATTGCGTCTGACACATGCCATAGAATCCGACGATTCTCCAACTCGAAGCATAGTCACAGGATATTCGAGAAACTCGGAGTCCTAGCAAAGCCAGACTAAAGGAATATAAGTTTTTGCGAGCGAATATAATCCAAAGTGACAAGTCTCCAGTTCCGCATTCGTTGTCACTCCACGCATCACGACAGAAGCGCTTCGTTAAATTTTCTCATCAATCCGTGGTGCAAGGTAGCGGCAGAAAATCAGGATGAACTCCAGCCAAGAAGAAATCGTTCGATTTGTTAAATAATCCTTAACGTATCAATTGACGTCTGCAGTTCACAAGACCCATAAATTTATGAATAGTAACGGTCGTAACAGGGTACTTACAAGTTTAGTTCAATGCCTGAGCTCCACTTAAATTAACGCTAGAATTGAGCTGCCAGAGTTAATTCTTTTAATTGGAATCGCACAAGAGAGACTCCATGCCAGCGGCCAAGTACATCCTCCAAAGAAAATCTCGGAGTAGCGCGGCCAACGAGGTAGGAACTCGAGCGCTCAAGCTGATTGCTGACAGGTCATCCCTGTGATTCTGCGAGCGACGCGCCTGACATTTACTCCGGAGTTGGAGTATCTGGCCATAAGCAAGCAGAATTCGGACCTGAAATTCTGCGCCTGGTTCAGTGTTGAGTCCTCCTTTCAAATGAGTAACTGTTTTGCTCGCTTTTGTCGTTCTTGAGAATGATACCGTGCGCCCAAGAAAGAAGAATCAAGAAGGGATTTATTAATTATTTAAATAAGACATTTTGACCGCAATTCAATCACGTGTATTTCATCACTTATCTCGCACGGACCCTGGGGCGGATGCATCTCAACGTTCGCTACAGGCCATGACATCAGCATCGTCCGGTTGGAATCGGTGCTTGCAGAGGTCTGCGACCACACTACGTTACCAAAGAAATACCAGAGCTTCCTCTTTGATACTTCCGCCCGGCGCCTACACGACCTACCGGAGTGTGCTTGTCCGTCTTCTCAAGTAGGGCACCATCATCAATATCTTCTCCCAATCTCTGTTCTACGCTCGCTCCAGGATCAAGGATTTCATTAACAACAAGACTCGGAGTTGTAACCTTTACAAGCAAATACTACCAGTATTTTCTATCCGAGCCAGGACTCTTGGGAGGTCGGTCAAATCGGTCACAGGATGGTCAGGCAGCGGAGGTGCGTGCGTTTTCCTTTGACGTGGGTGTACTACTCACTCTAGCTTTCTAGGTCGACCTTTTCCCATTTCTGTACTGCTATACACACCTTTGTGGCCGAGCGACGACGACTGTCTACGTAGGCATGCGCTGACTCACGGTGTTCGTCTAGAACTATATCTTTCCATGAAGGGTTCCGGTTGGTAGTGCAGGTACGCGTGTCTTTTCTTTGCCTTGACATCCTGTCAATTCCGTATGTGCAGATCTATCAGTTCCCATTGCGCCATCGGTTTCGCATCGCCCGAAATGCACGCCCTTCTGTTTCAGTGATAATCGATAATCGTACGGCTCCTTGATTCTCTCTACGTCAGTGGTATTATCATTCATCCAAGCCTGTCGCCGGCGCGTTCCTTAACATGAAGTGACGCAAATCCACTCTAGCTTTTTTTCGGAGTCATCTCTATCTATTCGATGCTTACTCTATAGCTAAATGCATGCTTACGTAAGCCATAGGACTGGCGTGCTCGCGATAAGGTCCGTCTTCTCATCTCCTTTAAAATGCATCAGTCTCTGATAATATACCCTTAGAATTGACGGTGTCCAGCTTGCCTACTTCCTGTACCCACGTGTCCTCCTCGGGCTATGGGTGGATGGGAACGTTTCCGACGTTTAAATTAGTCAGGATGTTACGGTATTTATTCTGAATTGCAACGCCAGCGTAGCATTTTCCATGACAAAAGGCTTGTCCACTTGAAGCTGAATTGTGGTCTCCGTTGTGTAACGGTGTAATCGACGAGGCCTTTGGTTTGGTTATGCCTTTGTTGGTTCGAATCCAGCTAATGCCATCCCTTAATCAGTCTTTTTTGTTGTAAACGATCTTTAGGTCTACACTCAGCGCCGCATATCTGGCTGACATCATGCTACGATGAACGCATGGTAACGACTGACGCACTTACTCTTGCCGTCTTCATACTGTAAGCTACTGAAAATACGTTTAAAAATTGAGTGCTACGATCTTAAACTATTTTGCTTGTCGAGTATTCATTTGAGCATTTGAGGGGTATCGGTTTGATAACGAGGTGTCCCTTTCGTTAGGGCATCTTTCTTCCTGGGTTCGTCGTTATCTCCAACGGTCTTCTATCTTAAGGAAGGAGTGATTACTCCATTACTCTCATCTCAAAATAGAACAGCTAAACCTATTCTGGGGGTTCGCTTGTTTTCGATGGGTAGGCAGGCCAGTGCCGTCATTTGCTTCCGACGTGTATGTTCCTTTCCCACTGGTCTGAGCATTCCACTGAAACGAAGATTCGCAGAAAACATCGCACCAACATTGTCATCATCGATAGCCCTATGCTTGCTTTGACAGGAGAGTCTGAAAGCGAATACATGTCCTAAACGTTCAGAGAGCTGTCGGCACCCGACGATTTGTACTTGCAGGATCGTTGAGTCGGATCGTTACCATCAATGATCAATTTAGTACCTTTCCAAAATGGCAGAACGCTTGTTTCCCCGCATCCTATTCCTCCCCACAAACGTCTGTCCGATTATGGTCTGCCATTCAAGCAGGCGGTACTTATTGCGAGGGTCCGCTATCTGAACCATTCTTTCGATCACCATGCAATGCAAATCCCTCATAGCTGCGCTCCTCGCTTGTGAGTATCTTTCCGGTTTGTGTTGGTTCAAGGTCATTGATCTTTCGCTTCTCTCTTAGTGACTATTGCGTTTGCATCCGCGGCACCTATACCTGACGTCCCTGGTGGAGTCGATGAGGATGTAGAGGTATATGATATGCCCTTGTTGTCTTTGAAGTAGTTTTCTGATTCGGGGTTTCTACTAGGAGCGAGCCGGATGTGGGACAAACGTTACTACATGTTATTGACTTGTCGATGCGCCCCACTCACGGTACGTTCTTCTAGTTAATATTCCGGGAGACGCTGATACTAACGGAAACTCCTAGACACATCGAACTCCTCACTTCCCCCCAAAATGTCCTGCCCGATAAGGAATACTGTGTTCCCTTTGAACATGATTATCCCTGCCTCGCTCATTCGATTAGCGCCCGCTGCTCCCGTTCGTCTGTCTGTAACCTGATTACTGTATCGCTAGTTTTGTACTTCGTAAATATATGTTGATCAAAGAGGGATGACAATGGACCCTAACCTCAACTTAGCAGTGTACTATGCAGGTCTGATGCGACCGGATTTATCATCGCCGCGGCGCCGATTTCCCACCCAACGGTCAGCGGGTTGTCTTTGTATACTATTTTTCGTGCTTCGAGAACTGGAGATACTTTCCTGTGTTATATTTTAATACACTGCTCGGCACGCCGTACATGCTTACTGTCAACTGATAAATATCAACACTTTCCAACCAAGTCACGAAAGTCACGACCTGGGTCGCGCAAGGGTCGCGTTGGGATCCGACATCGATTGAACTTTGAAGTAGCTCTGCGACTAAACTGGACCGGTCACCTTTGGCAGGCCCCCAGAAGCTCCCGCCCATTTCTGTCCTGCTTTTAGATTATCTTATGCCTTAGAAATTCAAAAACTTTGTCCAGGGGACCCTTGATCAAGAACCACCACCATGTGGGGTTTGGCGCCTAGCCACTGCAAGTCTGGCTCAAGGGATTCTATTTGACGTAGAGTCGGATAGGATAATAAGTCGCTCTCGCACCTTCACTGGTCGAGAGAAACGTTTCTCAGTCTTGAAACGTACCAGGAATCCTGGTCTGAGCCACTAGCTACCTCCCTGTAGTAGCTAGTCGACGTGCTCCAGTACTCTGCCACCCAGTTCTCTCTCGAAATTTGCCCAAACTGAAGTATATCTTCTCGAGAGTCATCGAGCCAAATCATCCTGTTCTTATCTCAGTCTGAGGGCAACAACCGCACCAACAACCCACATTGGCGATGCCACCCTATTGGGAATCTTTGCTCACGCGGATTCTGACACCCGGGTCCGAGTCGTCCGTTGATTCCTCCCTCCATCATCGCTCAGCATCCCCATCGAAGCTCCCATTGCCATCCTCAGCCCTCCTCGACGAACTCAGAGAATGTGCCACTCCTATCATGATTGTTTTCCGTGACTGCCACTCAAACCACAAAGAACTTTTCGTGACCACTTTAGGGAATGCCAACATTGTTCTCCCAAACAAAGGCTAATGATCTACTTATAAGCTTCGATCCTTGCATAAATGCCCTCTAAAACTACTCTCCCCCCAATCCTAGCCATCCTGTCTTCCACTACAAGTCCTGATCCCTCATCCCACTCTGGTGGAGAACAGCCAAAAAAGAAGCAGAAGGTGAACGAAGGACAGTTTAGGCCCAACGTGCGTGCTGCGCCTCTTTTCTTATCCTCCCCTCACTGTCAAACAGGACGACAGCCAAAACGAAGAAGACGATAGCCGTGAAGCTCGTCGGAGGACCCCCAGACCCATCCCCTTTGATCAATTCCTCTCAATGCCGTTCGAACTCCCTGACCCACGTAACACGACCGGCCTACCCACTGCAGACGAACCTTTCCCATACAATAAACTTGCTTGTTCTGGTGAAACCCCTTCCGTTCTTCCGACAGGCTCTGCCACCCCTTTCACCAACACGGCCTACCCCCGACTCTATGTCCCATGGAATCACCTCACTGCCGGGTTCCCAGAAGACCTCCGGAAGGCCATCGCCGACTCTCCAGACAAGTTCATGGCAGGGCTCCCATACGGTGCTGGACCAAAATGGTACGCCGACAACCCCAGAGCCGACCTCCTACTCAAAGAGTTCCTTGACGGTTTCGATTTTCCGGACAAGGGCCCTATCACGGTCTTCTATCCAGTCGAAGAAAAAGTGGGGAAGAAAGGGAAGATCATCGAGGAGGGCCGAAAGAGGAAGAGTGCCTTCGATAAACCGTGGCCACTAGTCGTCACCGGTATTTCGGAGGACTTCATGAAGTACCTCATCTGGCAACAAACCTTCGCCATCCCCTCCCGCATCGTCTGGAATTTCGTCCCGTTTGACCCCAAAGCTCTCGCATGGGTCGTCGCAGCTTTCCAAGGCAACGTCGTCCGCAACGACGCGACCCTTATAGCTGAAGCCCTAGCTTGCCTGAAAGTGGAGGCGTGGCGCAGCGTGCCCCTCCAAAACCTGGTCAAACGAATCACCCAGGCAAAAGGCAAGTCGGGGAACCCAATCGAGCTCACGGTCAAGATGACCCAGTCCTGGCGCCTCACCTACGTCGAGACAAAGAACCTCGAGGACGACAAAGGACCAGTCTTCCTACTCATGGGAGAGCCCATTACGGATGACTTGGATCTCCATAGAGCACTCACCGCCCATATTCGCAATCTCAGAGTCCGAGTCAACTACCAACAGTTGCTAAACGTCGACAAGATCATAGGATGCGACTGGTGTAAGAACCAGAACCATCCGAGTCATGCTTGCCCCTTCCCAGGAGTGGACTCTGCCTGGTATGGCCCCACCGCTGATGAACTAAGGCTTCGCATGATGAAAGCAGGACCCCCCAACGACCCAGGCCGGAAACGGAAAGAGGGGAGCTCCAAGCCAGGAGGGCGCTCCAAGCGAGGAAAGAACAAGGACGACGAATGGAGCGTAGTTCAGCGTGGCAAAAAGCACTAGTTTGCTTACCACCTATATGCCGTTTCATGTACCACGTACCTTTCAATAGAGATCCTTATGTACCCGCTAGATTGATCTCGGACGAGCCTCAAGCCTGTGATAGCGGAACCAGTGGTGAGACTGGATAGGTGATGTGTCCGTTAGAGCCTTCTAACACTCACCGAAGCATCTCCCCTCTTAGATTACTGACGGTTTATATGGAGGTAAGTCGGATTGCAGAGAGGGGAGAGGCGATACAAAGAGTCTCCAGCAGGACCCGATGGAGCCTACACTGCTTGGAAGGTCTTCCCTCTCACCGGGGAAGATATCTTTCAAGTGGATTCATCTAGCATACAAGTGGTTTGGCAGACCCGTATGTGAACTAACAGCGCTACTAACGTTTTGGACAACAGGAATACTTCAAACAATTCTGTGGGTGGTTACGGTAATGGTCTCGCTCTACTTAGTCGAGGCCCTGACGTACCCACTGGTCATTCCTCCATGCAAGACGGTAGGGCGAGTAGCGACAGTGGGGAACCAGTTTCGGAATTCCCGGAGAATGGGGTAGACCCAATGTCGCGAGGTCCCCCGGACAATGATGGGAACATGCCAACTGCCTCTCAACCCTCACCCTGTGCAGGCCTGAGAGAAACCACGCAAGTCCGCGGTGGTAGACGCCGGAGACGCAATCGTCAAAGGCGTGAGTCGAGCATCTCGGCAAACTCGTGCAACTCTTGTCCCCCCTTAGACGAGACACCAAATAGCGAGAGTGGCCATGCCACGAACCAAGTACAGAGTGAGCCATGCCTTCTCTCGAATGGTGAATCAAACACACAAGGTGCAACCTTGCGACCAACGAGCTCCACAACCACCCAGACCCCCTTCGTTAGGGCATATTCAGGGAACAGACGATCTCGACGTGCAGAAAACAGAAAAGAAACCCGGGCAGCCATAATGGTTTCTTGTCTGAATATCAACGGATTCAGCTGCTCGGGATCCGGAGACAATATCCAGAATAGCAAATGGAGTCATATCAACCAACTCCTACGAACGTCGAGGACTGGAATCCTTATAGTCTCAGAAGCGCACCTTACAGAGCAGCGACGGAATGATCTGGAGCACCTCTTTGCACGCAGAATGAAAATAGTCTTCACGGCTGACCCAGAGAACCCGACGAGCAAAGGCGGAGTAGCGATAGTCATCAATAAACAACTCACACTCTGGCACCACACCAAGACTAAGGTCATCATCCCGGGGCGAGCTATCCTTCTGAAAACTAGGTGGTACGGGGAAAAAGAGATCATCATCCTGGGCATTTACGCTCCAAATGTAAAACAGAGGGATGCCAAAGAATCCGCAGAGTTCTTCAAAACTCTATTCAACTTCTTTACTGCCCACCGTGAGTGGTGGCCAGATTACATGGGTGGCGACATGAATTTTGTAGAGGACCCAATAGACCGGCTACCTATGCGAGCAGACCACGCTGACGTACTGACAGCTTTTGACAATCTCAAGGAACTGCTTGGACTTCGAGATGGATGGCGTAGAACATATCCTGACAGGAAAGACTTCTCATTCCATTGCACACGAAGCGTCCCAGTCCAAGGAGCAAATGAAATGGTATGCCAAGTGTTTCAATCCAGAATCGACAGAATATATGTTACAGACAATCTGTTCGAGAATGCTCGTCAATGGAAAATATGCCCAGTAGGTATAGCAGGTGTCGATCATGATATGGTCTCAGTACAGATCGCGCATGAAGAAGCACCATTGATTGGCAAAGGAAGATGGGCCTGCCCGGACAGCATCCTTAAAGACCGCCAGCTAGCCGAAGGGGTGAAAAGGCTTGGAATAAATGCCCTAGATGAGATCACTGAGATCAGACGGTCAGGAAGAACTCAGTCCTCGAACCCCCAGAGAGTGTACCAGAAGTTCATAACAGCTGCAATGGAACTAGCCAGGGAACGAGAACGCAGCGTGAAGGTTCAATCCCAACTAAAGAGATCTCAAATTGAGAAAGAAATAGAAAACACACCAGGAAACCCTGATTTATCTGAACTGGAGCAATCAGAAAGGCTAGCAAGGCTGAAATCAGAGCTACGAAATATTAAACGAGAGGAACATGATACTGCACGCCGTTTTGTGGCAGCAAGAGACCATCTAGGGGGAGAAACAGTCTCAAAATATTACTTCCAAGTTAACAAACAGTCAAAACCACGCGATGTAATCCACGCGCTTGAAATCCCCAACAGTGTATCTCCTGTCACGGCCATTGACCAAGCCGATGCAAGTCCTCCTGTAGAGCCCCAACCTATTTACGAGCGGTACTCCCCAAAGATGGCTGAGATGATGCGCAACTTCCATGGTGAGACCCTCCAGAATGAAGGACTCGACATCAATGAGGAGGAACGAGCAAATATGATCCATGAGTCGCTCAATAACATAACAGTCTCCCCTACCGAGATGAACAAACTCCACTTCATTGAGAAACTGAAGCGTGAAGAAATTATAAAGCCCCTGAACTTGTCCAAGAATGACTCTGCTCCGGGAATAAATGGAGTGACAAATAAATTCTTCAAAGTCTTTAATGATAGGTTCGTAGAGGACGAGCGAAAAGGACTACTAGCCTTTGATATAGTCGGATTACTCACTTGCGTCTTCAACGACATAGAGGAATTTGGTATGGATGAAACAACAGCATTCACGGAGGGCTGGATGTGCCCAATCTATAAGAAAAACGACCGAAACAAGATGTCGAACTACCGCCCCATAACCCTGCTGAACTCTGAATACAAGCTCTTCACAAAAGCATTGTCTATAAAGCTGGTCAAAGCTGCACCGGAACTCATACACAAGAACCAAGCAGGCTTTATCCCTGGGTGCCAGATAACGAACCAAACAAAACTTATCCGTATGATAATAGACCATGCCGATTTAACACAACAAAATGGTCTGATTGTAGCTCTTGACCAAGAAAAAGCATACGATAGGATCCGTCATGATTATCTATGGAAGGTCCTAGAAGCCTTCCAAATCCCAACACCATTTATCACAACTATCAAATCCCTGTACAAACATGCTCAGACAAGAGTGATGGTAAACGGATACCTTAGCTCACCATTCAACATCACACGAGGAGTGCGCCAAGGTGACCCCCTGTCCTGCCTACTGTTTGACCTTGCCATAGAACCTCTCGCAGAAATGCTCCGACAATCTGGATTGAAAGGCCTGTCAGTTCCAGGCTCTGAAGAGAGATTGATCGCAAACCTTTTTGCAGATGACACAACTACATTTCTTCATGAGGACGACAACTTTGAAGACCTCATGAAACTTCTGGACAGATGGTGTCTGGCCAGTGGTGCACGCTTTAATGTGACTAAGACCAAGATCATCCCCATAGGAGACAAGGAATTCCGAGTAAACTTGATCAACCACCGCAAATCCAAAGATGACTTCGAAAAGATACCTGAGAATATCCATATAGTCGAAGAGAACGAGGCTATCCGAATCCTCGGGGCATGGTTTGGAAATAACATTCCAGAAGACACAGCGTGGGCGCCAGTACTCGAAAAAGTTGACCAGAGTCTTGCCCATTGGGATATGTCACACCCTTCAGTTCCCGGCCATAGGATTATCATCCAGACAGTTATAGGAGGCCTAACACAATACCTCACAGCGGTTCAAGGAATGCCGAAACATATTGAGGACAAACTGGAAAAACGTGAACGCAAGTTCATTTGGGAAGGAAAAACAAAGAACTTAGTTGACCTGGAAACACTCAAGCGCCTGAGAGACCAAGGTGGCCTTGACATCCTGGACATCTGAACACGCAACAAAGCCATTGAAATGATGTGGGTCAAATCACTCCTCTCAAGTGAACAACCGACGTGGACACTCTTTGCGCATGACATAATAGCCCAGACAGGCCTGAGTACCGAAAGAAATATCAGTCCCAAAGTTAAGCAGAATATCTTCTTACAATCCTTTGGAACCAAAAAGTCCAGCCTACCACATGACCTGCAAAGAATGTACATCATTGCAAAGGAAATGGGCGTCCGGGTAGAAGGCATCGCCTTCTCTAGAGAGTTAATCCGAAACAGACCAATATGGTATCACTCAGAGGTGGACCCCAGAATTAGACTCCTGACAAAGTCAGCAGCGAGCATCTGCCTCCGGGAGAATCACAACCTACGCCTTGTTAGTGAAGCCGAAGAGATCGCAGACCTTCTCGATGACCCAAATCACAACAACTCTCGCCGGGGAGAAATTTGCCAATGCTATATATGCATAGCTATGTCAGATAACCTAGGTTGTGAAAAGCCAAATGAATGCATGCTCCAAGCCAAAGAATTATTGGACACACTTCCACCAAAGTGGGACCCAAGGTTCATGCTTCCAGAAGACTATGAAGAAGCCCCCGAAATACTTGAGGAAGGATACGAATTTGACCGGAGAGTAACAACTACTGGCGACCAAGCCAACTTGTTCAGGATCTTCACGGAAGGAGGAGTGTGCAATGACCTACCAGATCTGAGAATAGGACCCTCAAACACTGCCATCATCACAGCGGCGACAGATGGTTCCTGTATTGACAATGGAACTGTGAATGCACGGGCAGGCGCTGGAATCTACGTGGAGGGAGAAGAGACACTAAAGATAGCCCTACGGGTGCCAGCCACTCTCCCACAGACCAATCAAGTAGGAGAAGCGGTCGCGACAAAAGAACTTGCAGCAACAGTGAACAAAAGAGCCATCCTGCACACAGACACAGACTCACAATATGTCCTGAAACATCTAACGTCCTCCCTCCGACGTATGGAAGACTCTGGGTACATAGGAGTCCCAAACAGAGGTATCCTCCAAGCGATGGTGGCGAGCTTCCACAGCTGGAAGCAAATCTCAACTATGAAATGGGTTAAAGGGCACAATGGGCACCAAGGAAATGAGGAGGCAGACCGTCTTGCAAATGAGGGAGCCTGGAAGAGTGATGCGGACTCCATAAGCCTTGAAATTCACCCAACTATCAGAGTAACAGGAGCGGCGCTAAACAAAATGACCCAAAGCCGAGCCTACAAAGCCCTGCACAAACGTAAGCTTCGTAACCTCCAACCCCGGCCCAAAACAGCTAGGAACCTGGAAAAAGCAATGTTAGAAGGGCTAGACGTGTTTGGGGAGAAGCCCACAGCAGAAGCCCTGTGGAGATCATTCCAACACAAAGACATTGACCGGGGTACAAGGTACTTCTTATGGATGTTAACCCACGAAGCTTATAGAGTTGGTGAGAAATGGTTACACTTCGCACCGGAATACCATGAGCGCGCTCAATGCGAACATTGTGGTGGCGTGCTGGAGAGCATGGAACACATCCTCACATCCTGCACCACCCCGGGACAGAAGGAAGTCTGGGATCTCACCAAGACCCTACTAGAAAAACGAAAAATCTCATGGCATTCCCCCTCAATGGCCATGATCCAGACCTGTGCGGTGCCTGTGTTCAAAAGACGGAATGGCAAATGTGATAGCGGTAAGGAGAGGTTCTACCGCATAATCATATCTTCTTCGGTGCAAGTCATATGGAATGCCCGTTGCGAGAGAGTGATTGGACGACAAAACAGTCCCTTCACACCTGACCAGATCCGAAACAGATGGCTGAAAAAGATAAACAAACGGCTAGAATTGGATCGCCTGATGACTTACAAACGTTTTGGCAAGAAGGCTCTCCCCAAAGACATAGTACTGAGAACATGGGCAGGGTCCCTCCAGAACGAGCATCAGCTTCCATCTGACTGGACAGAAGCAAGCAGGGTTTTAGTGGGTATGGAATCATAGTGGCTGTGGCACGCAAGGTAAGTATAGGGGATGGCACAAAGAAGCTCGAAGAAGATGCCCAGCCACTTGATAAGTCCCAAGTCCCACACTAATCTGTGCGCAATGCATTTCCTCGCGGTAACAATCTTTTATCAACTCGGAAACACTAATGATGCTTGGTTTGAAATCCTGGCAAATTCTCCAGGCTGCACGTTGGAAGCGACTGTGTCGCCGGACCGCCTCTGCAATAGCCTCAACCAAAAAAAAAAAAAAAAAAAAAAAAAAAAAAAAAAACTTTGTCCAGAGGTAGCATATTTTAGTTCCCCAAGTTCCAACTAGTACAACTTTTGTCTTTTGTTAGCATATTTTGGGCGGTGGGCGTGGATGACCAACCATTGAAGGGTCCATAGATCCTTCCGTGAAGTACGATAAAAAGACAAATTTGAAAGCTGAACCGGTTTTTTTTGGGCTAGGTAAATTTGTCCGAGATACTTAGCATATTTTGTGAACGTTGCATATTTGAGGGGTAACTTCCTAGGATTTGCCGGACAACATTTGGAGGGAGCTTCTGGAGGCTTTCTGTGACAATGTTTTGTCTGTGACACTGATTTAGCACACTGATTCAGCGACGTGACAGAATCACGTGCAGAGCTTAGGGCAAGTCGCACTTTAGGGCAAATTGTTCGACTTGAACACTAACCCTATTGACCTCCCTACGTGTTGGAATCCTCGGTGTTGCGCAGGGTAGACTCCTGGCTGGTAAGGCCAGTTGATATGAACTTATTATTCCTAGGCTCCTACAGAGCCTGTATTTATACTACTTCGCAATGTAATCTAGAATGTACTACAACTTTCTACTAGTCTCGTGCTTACTCAGCAACTCTCAGCATGATGCCGGATTGCCCCTTCTAGAACTTTCCGGCAAAATCCCAACACTACGGCAACTCCACGGGTAGAGATTCCAACTTCAAGCATCAAATGACGAGCTCAATTCGGCGATGATATACCCTTAAAAAGCTAATGCATATTTCCCTGATGGCAGTAGCTGGCGCTAATATGAATTCGGAGGTGCATACCTGTAACTGTTTTGCTCCTTGTCCCTGAGCGCTCAAAAAGCTGATGTTGGCGCTTTTCTTCCTCTCTCATCGCCCCATCTTTTCTCTTTTTCTGGACTGAGCAGTCAGAGTCGCATTCAGGCTCCAATAGCATGGCAGTTGGACAACAAGATGAGGAACAACCTTCGTCCGCGTATGTATACTCTTATCTGCGGATGACCTTAACTTCTCATGCGTATCACAGTCCTGTGGGTGCATTGCTATCTAATGCTCGTGGCCGGCCTTCCCTACTGCAGGCTGGCAGTCAAGATGACACAATGACATCTTACGTTGTCATGTCTCATCCTCTTGATCACGCACATGGCGCTACTGAGAGCGAACCCTTATGGGCTAGCATGCCGCCATCCTGGGGGCTATCAAGTCCTTTGGACTCTCCCACTGACCCTCCGGACTCTGCATTAAATTCGGATTCGGGGACATCTCCTGTCCCTCCACATGGTTCTATTCCCTTCTCCGGCCCATTTCAGAGCGCCCAAAATCCATCTGTCGCTAACCTACCGTCGCCGCCTCCCCCTCAGCTGAGTCAGATACTCCACGGCAGCCCATTCTATTTTCACGGGCTGCCTCAGAATACTTCAAACATTTCTGGAGCGCCGGTCTCGCCGACATTCGATGCTTATCTCACGCCGGAGCCTTCTCACAGTTTTCCCCAGGATACATCGAAACAGAAAGTCTCGGATACACCTATTGGGTCAATGCTTTATGGACACGCACCTTCGCTTGATACTCCCCAAGCTATTCCATCAGCAGTACCAAACCATGTTGAGCTTTTGAAAATAAAGTCTGGAGTAAGGACAGGTATGCTTCTCCATTATCAGATAGGACATATGGCAAAACTCAACGAGAGTTTAGTCCAGGATGATTACGAACAAAAATACCCAGAAGATTCTCCTGGATCGGAATGTGATCCCACAGCCAGGATCTGGCGGATATTCGCTGATGAATGCCAAGCCTACGATAAGGGGAAAATTGAGGTTCTTCGGGACAACGTCGACGTCCTTTTGGTGTTTGTGAGTTCAATTTCTGCGATGTTTCTATCATGCAAATGGCTAAACTCGGTAAGTAGGCTGGTTTATTTTCTGCGGTAGTGACCACCTTCGTGGCGCAGACATCCCAAAGCTTGCAGGTCGATTACTCAGAGATGTCTGCCTTCTTGCTTTATGAAATGGTTAATATCCAACGTGCCATCGCTAGCGGCGTCGCGGTCGACTCCGTCTCTGCTTCACCATTGAACCCCACAACTATCTTCATTCCGTCCGCTTCTGACCGTTATGTCAATGGCTTATGGTTCACGAGCCTTTCCTTGAGTTTAGTCACAGCTCTCATCGCGGTTCTCGCCAAGCAATGGATACGACAGTATATGTTAGCATCATCAGAGACTCCACGAGATCGGTGCAGGATTCGGCAATTTCGTTATACCGGTTTTCAAGATTGGCATGTCCCGATCATTATCGGAATCCTTCCATTCCTGTTGCACATTGCGCTTGCCATCTTCCTCGCAGGGTTGGTCGTCTTCCTCCTGGATTTGGAACAGTCGACCGCATATGTTCTTTTGGTGATCATGGGAGGCTCATACGCTCTGTATCTTGCAGCCCTACTGATGCCTCTTTTCTTCCCGGGATGTCCTTATCAAACTTCATTGACGGATCTCTTCTTTGTCGCCCACAAGAAAATTCTCGGATGGACATCTATGGCTCGCTATAAGCTGCGTCCACCCTCCATTCAAGAATGGGAGCTCCAGACTATCAAAAACCAATGCGACGACTTGGATGTTCACTCCCTTCGTTGGTTATACGATATGTCTTCCAATCCTGTGATTCATAGATGTATCATACAATGCATTGGCGGGCTTCAGCCCAGCATTAAACCTGACGTGTTGCATACTGCATTCGAAGGTACTGGAATCGAGGAGAGAAACTGGGAGATTTTGCAAGAATGCTTAGAACCTCACAGCTACCCAGGGTATTCTGCTGTAATAAATGGCATGGAAACACAATTAGAGCGCCTTCTTCGTAGCCGTCTCCGCTTTTCAGCGGAGGTACCATGCAGTCATCCTTCCACTATCCCATGCCTACTCTTGACGCTTACTCCGGATAGTCAGTTATCCTTCGAAATAACAACAATGACTGCCACCATCGCATGTCAAGACGATGAGCTCCGTCCCAGAAATCATCCAACCGGTGCTGACGTCTTTCTCTACCTCACCCGACAGGCCGATACTGAAAATATTCTTCTTCATCCATCCTTGTGGAGATCTCTGTTTTCAAATGTGATTTCCCGTCGCTCCCTCGCTCTAGATTCATTCCACAATTCCGAATTTGAACCATTCTGTTACAAGTTCATGGAAACACTTACACGACAGAAATTATCATGGAATCCTGCTCAACCACAGGATGATGGTACTCGCAGAATGTCCCTTCAAGACGCTTTACGGTTCGGACTTTATGACGACATCGAAACCCACTTGTTGGACGTGCTTGCCAAATTTGATGGATTGAGCGAGCCAGGGAGTTTCGACGACCACCCCCATGAATCTGAGATTTCACGGCGTATTCGCCTACTTTTGGCTATTACCAACTACGCCCTTTCCGCACAATCATTCCGTGCAGTTCGATGGGATGATCCGTCCCTCATACAGCATCACTGTTTTGGCATGGTTTTTTTCGCATTGAGAGAGCTCCGGATACATCTCACAGACTATGCAATGCTGTCATTCCGCGAAAGCGCTGCAATTTATTCCATCATCTGTCCACTTGTAACATCTCAATCATTCGCAAGTAAAGAGAAATGTCCGTCTCCTATACCGTGGATGATTCGTTCCGATGTAATACGAATACTGGTATGCATTATAATCCCCGAAAGTTCAAATCTGGAGCCTAGCATGTCTTGGGGGATCTTACCTCCGGAGTGGAGCAATGTCAGAGACGTGATTTGTGGACTGACATTGAATCCAAACACCCGTGGTAACTGGTTGATGGACAACTATGTGCCAGCGAACTGTGTCGTCGATGCAGGAACTCTCTTGGAACATAACATGGATAATGATGATGCCACTGCGGTAGAAACATTCACAACTCTTGACATGCTCCAATTCGCCGAGCAGACTATGTTCATCTATCCCTGGTGCCGTGTCATCCAGGCCTACATCTCAGCAATCTGTCGTATGCTTGACCGGAGAAGATCAAAGACTTCCCACCCAGCTCGAATTCCCACTCCCATCGATGCATATATTGATTATATTCATTGTCCTCAAAATCTTTATACTATCTGTGCCATACTTGGCAGGCGACTTTCGAAATGTACCGAAAAGGGCGGCACTGGAGGTGCTCAAAAAACCTTAAATGTGCTTGCAGGTCTTCGTCCTCAGGATCCAGCTTGGTCTCTGTGCATAATCAAGTTGGAACGCCTTTTCAAAAATCAGCAGTACATATCGGAACAGCAATTCTTCTCGCTACACGACGCGCAGTGGAGGCCATATGACATGCGCGAGGTGCAGCACATTATGATTCGGCTCGAAATTTCCGTCGCAAAGTTGAAACAAGTCGTTGAATATTCTGTCCCGGCGCCGGTGAGTAAAGTCTCTAGTCTGCTACCTGATCTCAACGATATCATTTTAGGACGACGCGGTGTTTGCTGAGGATCTCCAACCTAGCACAATCACCGATGATTCTCCCGTGGCATACATTCCCGATGATTCCGACGAATATGCAAATCAGCCGAGTGCTCTTGACACACCTGACTCGGAGTTGTTGTCCGTGTAAAAAATTGTTTGACGTATGGCACTGATTCACGGTGAGAAGACGCTCAAATATTCCAGTAATTATGGCCTTGCGAACAATCCATGAAAATTTAGCCTCTCGTTTTCGACGTCTTGAGGATCAGAGGTTTAAAATTTTCAGGGAATGA